GGGCGCCAGGATCGCGCCGTGGGCCGCGTCCAGCACCGCCACGCACGCCGTCGGCGTCGCAGGGGTCGCGACGTCGTCCGGGGCCGCCTTCCCGAATCGCGCAACGGGCGTCACGTCCACTGCAAAATAAAGGTTACTTGTGCTTATTTTTTTCATTCCCTCTAGTTTAAGATCATCTCACAGCAGGTGCAACCTCGTTCGTACTCACGTTCGAGACAGTCTGCCACCTGCTGCAGGTGGACAAAAAAGTCTCCCTGGGCGCTAGCCTCCCCCTGATACAAGATCTGTACGGCATCGCCGAAAAAGTCCACCATCACTGCAAGGAAAATAAAAGAAAATAAAAATTAGGAGGAGAGGGGGAGGGGGGCGATATTGAATCAATGACATCTTTCGCAAGCGGAGATTCCATCTTCCCTTTTCTTCAGCCTTTCGTCGCGGGCTTGTGCCGAGCTGGCCAGCTGATGGCGACGCTCGCCCTGCGGGCTTTTTAAAGTCACGGGGGCCGGGGCGGGCCGGGCAAAAGGGCCGTAAGCACAAAATTAAAGACAACAGAGGGAGCGGGCGGACACTCCAGAAAACGATAGGGGTCGAGGGGGTTACGGGGGGAATGAATGAGAATGCATCACGTGACGCATGGTGTCTGCAATAAAATATGACTTTGCTGCTGTCTTCAAATTACACTAAAAGTTTGGTTCAAGAAACCATATTTTTTTTCTTCGTCTTGAGTCGAGCAATTTCCTCATCTCATTAGCCGTCGGCGAGAAGGGATCAAAAGTCCTTAGGACACGGCACAAAAGGGTCCGGGCCCGGGGGCGCGTCAACAGCTTGCAGCTCGCTACAACCCGCCCGCCCCTCGAAAGGTGGTTGAGTTTGAATCGGCCACTCGCGGGGCCCGACCCCTGACCCTCTCCTCGCCCCCGTAAACCTGAACGTAAACAGCTGAGAGGTAAGGTTAGAGGGTGCATCGTACAACATAATTCCCTCGGCATCCGCCAGGTCACGACTGGGTTTTGAATAAGCTATTTCATAAAAAACGGGAAAGAAGAACAGCGCGAATAACAAGGTGGCCCATGATTCGTCGCCCGGTGTCCCCCTCCAACTGAGCGACGAATCACAGGCCTCCTTGTTATTCATGGTGTTCTTCTTTCCCATTTCTCTGAAATAGCTTAGAAATGTACCGCCTCTCTTGTCTGGGATATAACAAGGCCCAAAAAACTTACAAGGACAACAAAGTCAGCAACATCTAACATGGCGATGCAACAGAGGAGGAGGCAACCCACCTGTTTGGCCGACCAGATCAGCTCCGCAAAGGGTCCGGTCGCCGACGACGAGGTGCTCTCGCTGGCAGTCCAGCCCCATCCTCTCCACTCGCACCTGGAGACCACAGATGTCCTGCAAACAGTATGAGAGAAAGTCAGTGCCTTCGAAGTAAAAGCCCCACGCCGTATTTTGGTTTGGTTATTTGGGTTATTTTCTTTTTCTAACCTAACCTAAGATGGCCCATTACCGAAAGTAGTAATGATGAGTATTCGTGGCATCTCATTTTCAGGATAAAAGAAAATAAAGAGACTAACAGAACACTGGAGCAATTTCTCATAGCAGTCTTTTTCTTGCCGTTTATTTTTCTTTTTTCTTATTTCTTTTCCTTTTTCAATCTTTCCTCCGATCCCAGTATTTTTTTACCTCCATTTTCGATCTGCTAGCATATTTTGTGGTGACATGACCTCTTCGAAGCCTGCCGTTTCTATTTTACCTTCAGAATAAATTAGGAAACAAAAGTTAGTCCCTATCTTCTTTTCTTTTCGTTTACCTGGCTGACCCGCCTCACGGTGAAGACACACTCGGGATGGGAGAACACGTCGCGCAGGCTGAGGGCGAACTGCTGCTGCCGCACGTCGCCGCCGCACACCGTGACGGGCGGCGGGGGCGTCCTCGGTGGTGGCAGCGGCGGGGCCGGGGCCGGCGTCGTCGGCTCCGGGTACCGCGGGTAGTCCGGCAGGACGGGCGGCCGCTCCGGCTGACCCGACGCCTGGTAGGGGCCCTCCTCCGAGACGGGAACGGGCCGCGGCCGATAGGGTGGGCCGTACTCGGGGTACGCGCCGGGGACCGGCCCGGGGTAACCTATCGTCGGGAAGCCACCCGGGTAGGCCCCGGCACCGATGGCTGGAACACCTATAGGGGGTCCTCCGGGGACGCCGCCCGGGATCGCTCCCGGGAAGATGCTTGGAACGACCCCAGGTGTACGCCCTGGAAAATCACCAGGGAAGAATCCAGGCATGATGGCCGGTGCACCTGGTACACCCCCGGGGAGGCCTCCCGGGTAGAGAGGCACGACGTCGGAGACGCCCCCCTGGACGGGCCCGGGGATGCTGCTCGGGAACGGGCCGGGGCCTTGGCCGCCGATCACCCCGGGGGCTCCGCAGGCGACCTGACGGAACGAGGCGCGGAAGCCCCTCGCCGAGACTGCGTCGTCCGTCACGAAGAGAATGTCGATGTAGAGGCTGGACTCGAAGCTGAGGTATACTGCAAGGGCGGCAAAGTTGATATCATGGTGGTAAGCTTTGTTATGATCGAGTGTGATTTCATGTACATTTGTTATGCAAAGGGTAAAAAAGTTACTTACGTGTAGTAGATAGAAGGGTAGAACCGCAGTACCGAGAGGACCCACCCAGGCTAACGTAGTCCTTGTTGCAGGCCGGCGACGGCTCCAGGTCGAAGTCGAGGAACGTCATCTGCACGCCGCACTGCTCCGGGTAGCGCAAGATCCTGTCGTGCAATCCACGTGTTCGTTGCTCTACAGGTCTTTTTATGTAAACATTATGAGCACGTCGATCGCCTACCGGTAGCAGATGCGCGCGTTGTTGGGATACAGGTCGGGGTACCGCGGCGTGGCGAAGAACCCATTTAGCCCTTCCAGCTTGCGGCACTTGGCGAGCGGGAAGATGCCGACGGGGCACTGCACCAGCGCCGACGGCACGGTCTGCGCCCAGGCCGCAGCCCTGGCCATCCAGTCCTTGTAGGAGGGCGCGCCGCACGTCGGCAGCACCCCGAGGGCGGCGCTCCGGCCGGCGTCGAGGGACTGCGGGAGGTCGGCGTCGAAGCAGCAGCTAGAGTCCACTCCGTCTTCGGGGGTCGCGTGTGGGCCCTGGTCACTTGGCTGGGTAGGATACTGGGAGCCCGGCTGGGGGTACTGAGGGCCTTGCTGAGGGTACTGGGGACCTTGCTGAGGGTATTGTGCGCCCGGCAGGAAGTCCTGGGGCCCTTCCTGAGGATATTGTGCGCCCGGTAGGAAGTCCTGGGGCCCTTGCTGAGGGTACTGTGCGCCCGGTAGGAAGTCCTGGGGTCCTTCCTGAGGGTACTGAGGGCCTTGCTGGGGGTACTGTGCGCCCGGGAGGAAGCCCTGGGGCCCTTGCTGAGGGTACTGTGCACCCGGTAGGAAGTCCTGGGGCCCTTGCTGAGGGTACTGAGGGCCTTGCTGGGGGTACTCCGAACCCCAGTCGCCGGACCCTTTCGGTAGAGTTTTCGTCAGCCCGGAGTGGCTCCCCGCTTCTGGGAACCGGACTTGTCCCCACCTCTTGATGTCCGACGTCACATTACCTACGCTCCAAGTTGCACGTCTGCGAGGGTATGAACATGGCATTAGGAGGACGCAAGTTGTAAGAATACTACGCGCAAAGGGCGGGTGGGTGCCGGTCCCCGGTCTCACCCGTCAGTGCTTCTGGCCGGCCAGCCACCTCTGAACGGCGGCCCGCCCATGGCGCCGAAAGGGCCGGAACAGTCCTCCTGGATCACCTCCACCATGAAGGCGCCGGTGACGAGAGGGTGGCGGAAGTACCGGAACTGCTTGACGGCCTCGTCGACCCTGCGCAAGGTGGATAGGCAGATTGGATGCAAATCATGGCGAATACGCCACTTAACACAGGGTGGCGCCCACCGGAAAAGTGGGACACCCTGTGCCATAATGTCCGAGATGAGCCACGAACCGGAAGTACGACACGAACTGGGCGCGGCTCTGGCAGCCGCACAGGCGACGGCCGTCCACCTCGAGGAAGTGCTTGTCGCAGGCGGCGAGCGAGCCGAGCAGCAGGAAGTGGTGCAGCACGAGCCGCACGCGGCACGTCTGCGGCGACCAGCGCGCCACGGGGAACACGCAGTCCGCGAGGCCGAGCCCCGTGGGGAAGCCGGGGCTCGTGATGAACAGCTGCACGCCGGCGTGGACGCGGCCACAGCACTGCCGAAAGAGAGAGAGAGAGAGAGAGGGGCGCCCGGATATTGTGAGCGTGGTGCGTTTGATCAAACCCTCCTTCGGGAACGGAAGGAAAACAACACACACCGGCAGCGTTTGGCAAGCTCGGGGTGAAGCAACACTCTTTGCTTCTGGGAAATCTTCAAAATCTCACGTAGTCTGTGATTCTTCTAGTATTATCTGTTGGTGCATATTTGAGCTATTCGGATCGTCCAGAACATACCCCCGTTTTTCGCAGAAACATTCGACAAATAGTAAGAAGAGCTCGGCGCCTGCGAGGCTCAGCGTAGGCCACCCCGCAGTGCACGTATGCACTGAAGGCAAGATATTGCCTGCGTCAGGCATTATGAGCTTTGCTTGTTTTCTATGATAACTTGTCGTCTTACCTGTGGAGGCTGGGCAGCCGGATAAGGGAAGCCCGGTGATGGGAAGCCCGGTGACGGGAAGCCTGGCACGCCCAGCGACGCGCTCCTGTTGCCGACGCCATCCCCCTCCACGGCGACGTCGTGGACGACGCCGGCGGCGGCACACGGTACCAAGGTGGCGAGCACGCGGAAGCCGGTGGCCGAGGACTCGCCGTCGGACAGGAAGCGCAGGGTGGCCCCGCCGCCGCCGTCCTTCTGGGCGTCCTGGCGGAGGGGGAGCCTCGTCGTGCCGGAGCGAGACCCGCAGAACGCGGCCTCCGCCCCGTCCAAGTCCACGCCCTCCACGAGGAGCCTGTCCCCGGACGCGCAGCCGCGCGTTGGGGACGCCAGGTTGAAGTCGACGAACTCGACGTCCACGAAGCAGGCCGGCCTCTGCTGCTCCCGCTGCCGCAGCACGAACAGGCAGTGCTTGTTGTGCGGGTAGCGCGCCGGGTAGCCGGGGCTCAGCAGCCCCACGGCCTCGCCGGGGGTCGCCGGGTAGAGGCCGCCGCAGTCGCGGTCCGACACGGCCCTGGCCTCGGCCGCGCCCTCGGCCTCCTCGCACTCCTCGAGACGAACCAGCGCGTCGAAGTCGTCCGCCGAGGGCGCCACGGATCTGCCAGAGAAAGGTTTGGATCGAGTAAGTTTGACAACTGCCTGAAACGACGCTCAAATGTATATAGCACTCGCCGTTTTGCACCCACGTGTAGAGGACGGGGACGCTCCTGGAGGGCGCGGGCAGGCTGACGGTCCTCGATCCCAGGTGTCCGCCGCACAGCAGCTCGCCGCCCACCCTGAGCGCGCCCTGGCCGCACGGCAGCCGCAGGGCCAGCAGCGTCACCTGCAGGCGGCACACGGGGCGGCCGCGCGCGGACTGCAGCTGCCACGAGCACTGGCCGCCCCCGCCAGAACGCAGGCGGACCACGGCGCCGCGCAGCACCGCCTCCGAGCTCGGGCAATCCTGCACGACCAAGACACTCGTTCATTGGGATGGTATGACGCGATTGCAGCGGAGAGAAGTCTTTTTTTAAACAAACCCGTTTCTACCACACTACCTCCCCACAAAAATTAGAGAATGTTAAGGGACCTTAGAAGAAACTCTACACCAAATTTGGTGACAATTGGAGACCATATATTTTTGCTATGAGAGTTACACTAATATGCTAAATTTGGTTGATATCTTTGATCGAAGGGTAGAAAACTCAAATCCAACTTTTTGACATTGGTGGTTTAGAATCAGTGTTTTATCCTCTTTCAAATGGTCGAGTCAGATTTCACCTCACTGGACATTTTCATAGAGTTATACCTACACCACCCTTTAAAGCCGCTATTTTTGCCTCAAAACTTTAAGAATTTATATCTCCTAAACCGTTTGAGCTACAGAGCCCAGATTTGGAGTGGGTTCATATTTCATGAATACCTTTAATTTTCGAGAGTAAAAACAAAATCCGAAACCAGACCCGGAATCTTGGGTCAATGATGAAAAGAACTA